CTGCAACTTTCGCCTCCCGGGTTCAAGCGATTCTCCTGCCTTGGCCTCCTGAGTAGCTGGAATTACAGGCACGCACCACTATGCCCAGCTAATTTTTGTAGTTTCAGTAAAGAAAGGGTTTCACCATTTTGGTCAGGCTAGTATTGAACTCCTGACCTCATAAGCCGCCAGCCTTGGCCTCCTAAGGTACTGTGATTATAGGTGTGAGCCACTGCACCTGGCCAGTACCTACATTCTTCTAAGTTGTTGTAGCAATTTAACAAACATTGCACACCTGGCTATGTACCAGGCATGGGTGTTGGGGACGTACTTGAACATAACAAGGCCCTGCCCTCATGGAGTTTACATTCTAGTGGTGTAATAAAAATAACATGCTAGGCACCGGCATTGACTGTGGTCATAACTGCCAGATCAGGGGAAATAGTGGGAGATGAGGCTGGATTCTCATCACAAGGAATCTCAAATGGCACTTTATGGGACAGGGGTCCAGGAGAGTGGGCCCAGCTGCACTGCAGGCCTGGCTTGCCCAGCCTGACCCCTGAACAACTGCCCTGCCCCCACCCCAGGTACCAGCGGAAGTGGGATGAGCTGGCTGTGCAGGAGAAGCTGTTCCGCCAGGAGTTCGAGCAGCTGGCCAACAACAAGAAGGAGATTGTGGCCTTCCTCAAGCGCACACTCAACCAGCAGGTGGATGAGATCACGGACCTCAACGAACAGCTCCAGAACCTGCAGCTGGCCAAGGAGATAGAGAAGGATGCCTTTGAGGCGCAGCTAGCCCAGGTGCGCCACGAGTTCCAGGAGACCAAGGACCAGCTCACCACAGAGAATATCGCCCTTGGTGAGGAGGGGACTGGCTGGCGAGCCTGCAGGCACCCATGGCGGGGACAGAACACAGGGCTCACATCCCAGCTCTATCGCTGACCCTGTTTCTCACCTGAGAAACAGGGAGAATAGCCACATGCTGCTTGGCACACACTGTCTTCCTTAACCGTCCCAGCAATCCTACGAAGCTGGAAACATCCCCCAACCAGTTTGTAGATGAGGAAGCACCTCAAAAGGTGAAGTGTCGTGACCAAGGTCCCCCGGTTGGCAAGGGTTGTGAGGCTCAAATGTCAGATGGCATTTGAACCTGGCCCAGAGAATATATACAGTCCAGCTGCTGGCCAGGTGTGGCGGCCCATGCCTGTAAACCCCGTGCTTCAGGAGGCTAAGGCAGGAGGATTGTTTGAGCCCAGGAACTCGGGACCAGCCTAGGTAACATAGTGAGATTCCACCTCTACCAAAAAAATAGAAAAATTAGCCAGGTGTGGTGGTGCACGTATGTAGTACCAGCTACTTGGGAGGCTGAGGTGGAAGGATCTCTTGAGCCTGGGAGGTTGAGCGAGCTGTGATTGTGCCACTGCACTCCAGCCTGAGTGACAGAGCAAGATCCTGTCTCAAAAAAAAAAAAAAAGAATCCAGCTGCTGTTGTCACTGTTACTTTCATGAGAGTATCAAGAGAGGCTTCTTGAAGGAGGCAGAACCTGAACAAAGCTTCATAACATTTGTGGAGGGGAAGAGGGAGGGAGCCTGGATGAAGGCAGTAAAGGTGGCAGGGACAGGCAGGGCAGGTAAGGGATGGTAGGCCTGCCCCACTGAGTCAGACGGCACAGGAAGGGACAGGGGCCTAAGGGGCATCTTTAAGGTCCTCGCCAGGCCTTGTCCTCTGAGGCAACCCCTCATCGGGCCTTGTGCCCTGTGGTGGCCAGGGGGGAAGCTGGCAGCCCTGGAGGAGTTCCGGCTGCAGAAAGACGATATCATGGACAAGTTCACGTTGCTGGAGGACCAGGTGCAGAAGCAGGAGAATGAATTCAGGGACTATGCGTACGACCTGGAGAAGAAGTCGATGCTGGACAAGGACAGGTGGGCAAGTGGGGCCTCTGGAGCCTTCATCCCTGGGGCCATGAACATCCTAGTCTTCAGGCCTCAGCTTCTAACTGGGAGGTTAGATGGGTAAGTGACCCCCCGCTCCCCAACCTGCTACTCCTTGGAATCCCAGCTGGTGATTACGGAGAGGTGTGAGAAAAGGAATCAGCTCCCAGAGGCAGTCCTCTTGCTGGCACTGGAGACTCCCAGGGCTTCCATTTGCCACTTACTGGGATTAAATCATTTTTATTTAATAGTTGAGAGTACATTGAAATGGTACCAGTTCCAAAGGTCCAGAGGATCTATAGGGAAAGTCCTGCCCATAGCTCCACCCCTCCCAGGGAGAGAGCGTGCGGGTGTTTCACACCCCTGGGTGCTCTGGAAACCTCACAAAGGAAAGGGATGTGCCCAGGGCTTGTGCCTGCTCTTTCCTCAGTCTGGCCCAGCTTCTCCTCCTGTCTTTCTGGTCAGACTGAGGAAAGAGATCATCCAGCGCGTGAACATCGTGGCCAATGAGTTCCACAAGGTGACCACAAACCGGATGTGGGAGACAACCAAACGGGCCTTCACGGAGAACAACAGCATTACCCTACAGATCGCCAGGATCTCCCGGCAAGGCGCGCAGCTGTTGCAGGAGAATGAGCAGCTCAAGCGAAGTCAGGACTATCTGTGCAAACAGGTGGAGCTGCTGGAGAACACGGAGAAGGTCATGGCCAGGCACAGAATTGGCTACCAGAAGGTGTGCCTGCAGGCCTCAGCACAGGGCGTTTGCATGCAAGGCAGGAGGCGACCCCAGGGGTCTTGCAGGGGTGGAGTCGATTCAGGAGGGAGGGAGGCAGCGGACAGAGGACTGGGCCTCCTGTGGGGGCTGAAGGGCAGTGGGCCTAACTCCGGATTTTATTTACTCAAAGCCCCTGTAACTTATATAAGCAGAGCACAGCCCTGGAAAGCTTGGGGCTCTGCCCAGTGGCAGCACTGGCCGCTCTGCACAGGGGGGCCGGTGAGGCCTGGCTGTGTCTGGAGCTGGGGACAGGGCTGGCTGAGGGCATGGCCACCTGCCCGCACCCACAGGTAATCCTCATGCTGACCAAGAAGTGCCAGGAGCAGCAGCAGGGCACCAAGGAGGCCAAGGAGCTGCACCTCCTGCTGAGCCAGCTGGAGCAGAAAGTCGTGCAGCTGCAGGCGGACAAGCAGGCACTGACGTGCGTATAGCCTGAGGAGGGGCGGGCGGCAGGGGGCGGGTGCACGCTGGGGCCAAGCTCCAGCCCAGCTCTTTCTGACCTCACGACCTGGGCCAGTGACTTCCCCTCTCTAGAGGAAACTGCCAGACGGGCTGAGGCTTGGGGCTGGCTGGGGGTTCCTGTGGGCTTGGAGAAAAATGGCAGGGCCCCTGGCCCCAGGTGGCGCCAGTCCTGGGGAAGGGGGAACGCTGTTGACTCATTGGGGTCCAGGAGCCAGAGAGACCAGCTGAGCCTGCAGCTGGAGCAGCGGCAGGTAGACTTGCAGAGGCTAGCACAGGAACTGGCTGATGAGCAGAAGGTTCGGGCCAGCCTGGAGACGGCCCTGGCCCAGGCCACCTCCTTCCTACAGAGCATTGTGCAGGTGAGCAGAAGGGAGGGAAGGAGGGCGTCAGAGGAAGGGGAGTGAGCCCAGGATGGAAGGTGCTTGCAGAGAAGGGGCTGCCTCAGGGTCAGAGGCCCCTCTTCCCTGAGAGCCTCCCAGAAAGTCTGTCCTTTGCTGATTCTGGCCTTTTCTGAGGAGCTGGATTCCTTCTCTGAGGCTCTGAAAGGTCTCGGGCCTCAGTCTTCCTGAATGGAGAACGCGTATCCCACCACATTCAGGGAACACTTTCTGGAAATGGGCACTGAGGTTGGAATTTCCTGGAGGAGTATGGGTACTGGGGCCACAGTGGGCCTGCTGCCACCTCACCCTCACCCACAGATGCGACCTGATGAACAGGACAGCGAATTAGACGTGACGTTCCAGCCGTGGCACAAGGAGATGCTGCAGCAACTGCTGGTCATGCTCAGCTCCACTGTGGTCCTGAGATCCCAGAAGGCTATGTGTTCCCACCAGGAGTCACAGTCCCATGGTCCACCCAAGGAGAGGTGAGCCTTCAAGCCCATGTTCAGCTCACTCTGGCCAAAACCCAGGCTCGCTGAAGTCTCTGTGACCCTCAGCCCCTTCCCCACAGCCAGCCCAGCATCCAGCTGCCCAGGACTGGATCTCTGCTGCCGCAGCTCTCTCACATCACACCCTACCAGCCGGGGGATCTAGGCCTGGTACCTCGCCAGGCCCGCATCCCACCCAACCCCCAGGACCTCAGACTGCTGTCACATATCACCCGTGTGGGGACCTTCCGGGCACACAGCAGCCACGAGGTGAGGGTGCTAGGGGCCTCAGGGACAGCAAGGTGGCAGCAAGTCCTGGGTACAAACGAAGGATCTGCCAGGCCACAGCTGTGTGGCCCTGGGGATGTAACCAGACCTCTCTGAGCCTTCCCATCTGTAAATTGGGCTGAAGAAGGGAGTGTCGGCGTCTCAGTGGGCCAAGGCATGCCCACACATGCCCTGGGAGCAGGGCTGGCTGGATCCTGTTGTCCCCTTCCCCACCAGCAAGGGAAGAGTGAGATCTCCCTGAAGAGGCCTTAGCTTCCAAGCTAGCATCTTTTTATTTTAAATTTTTGTTGTTGTTTTGAGATGGAGTCTCACTCTGTCACCCAGGCTGGAGTGCAGTGCCACAATCTCAGCTCACGATAACCTCTGCCTCCTGGGTTCAAGAGATTCTCCTGCCTCAGCCTCCCAAGTAGCTGGGATTATAGATGCCTGTCACCACACCTGGCTAATGTTTGTATTTTTAGCAGAGACGGGGTTTCACCATGTTGGCCAGGCTGGTCTCGAACGCCTGACCTCAAGCGATCCACCCACCTCTGCCTCCCAAAGTGCTGGCATTACAGGCGTGAGCCACCGAGCCTGGCCTCAAAGTCAGTATCTTTAATCTTACAGATCCATGCCCCTGGTTCTCTAAAAAGGCTCCAAAAGTTTAGCCTTCCTGAATTTCCCCTACGTCCCAAATAGGACACGGAGAGAACTGACTCCAGAAACGGACCATTCCAACCACAGTCACCCCCACTTTAATCTGTGGGCAGCCTGGAACAGTCTAGAGGAGAGCTGTATAAAAAGTAGATACCAAGGCTGGTGTGGCAGCTCTGTGACCGAGGCTGGGTTTGGGGGCACTATAGTCAGGAGGGCAGCCATGGCCACTGGTGTCAGGGCCCCAGTGAGGGCCCCTGGCTTCGCTCACGGATGTGATCCAAGATCAGGTCGGCGGCTCGATCCAGCAACAGAGGCAGCAGCTCCTGCTCAGCAGGGGAGAAGGAGCCCAGCACATGGGCCTGTACCGCCTCAGCGTGTGTCGGGCGCCCGATGCCCACCCGCAGCCTTGGCATTGCCTGTGGGAGAGCCAGAGAGGCCCAGGGAGCTTTGGCGAGGTGCTGGGGGACCCCTGGCCCACCCCACCCAGTTGCACAACAGAAGGGTAGACTCACATTGGAATTGAGGCAGCTAATGCAGGACCGCACTCCATTGTGGCCCCTTCAAGGGATATGGGAGGGGCAGTTAGTGCTTCCCTGGAGCAGCATCCCTCTACCCCTCCCTGCCCCAGCTGGGTCAGAGCAGCCCATCTCCTGTGGAGACTGGGTCAGTAGCCCTACTCCACCCCAACTGGGAGGCCTGCAGCCCTGTCCCAACCCTAACCATCTCAGGACCTCACCTGGCACTGCCCCCCAGCTTCAGAGCCAGTTTCCCCAGGGGCTTGTCCAGCTCATCATGCACCAGGTAGACTTCCTCGGCAGTCAGCCCAAACAGCTCCGCTTAGCACAGGGAAACGGCATCCCTGGTTACTGCTCATCTGCCCAGAGGAGCACCGTCCCAACTCCCATGAGGAGCGGCCACAACGAATCCCACTTCACATATAAAGAAACTGAGGCCTCCACAAGTACCCAAGGCCATGCAGCAACTGGAGCTCAACAGGCACTTGGAGGCGAACCCGCGGATCTGTCACAGCCAGGACCCCTCTGGCCCCTGCGCCTCCCACCCCCACCCCCGCGGCCTGCCCACCCACCCCTGGCGCCCTAAACTCACCAGCCCGGGCCACGCTGCGCCCGTTAGCGTTCATAAGCCGCCGTGGCCGGAGCAGGACCAGCTGAGCATCCCCGAGCAGGGCCAGAGCGAGGTCCGCGGCACAGTGCCGGTCGCGCGTCCAACTCTCCGCCACACCCAACCGCCGCGCCAGCTGCCCCAGCACCGCCATGCCCACGCTGTGTCGCGTGCTGGGCAGTCCGGGATTCCCCAGGCCAGCCACCTGCGGGCGGCACCAGGGAAACTGAGGCCCGACAACTCTCGCCACCCACTATCTCACAGCGTCCCGTGGGCCCCAAAGCAGAGGGGCGGAAACGCAGAGCAGCGCTGCAGTGGGGAAAAGGCGCGGAGAAGTGGCCCAGGCACCCCACTCCCGAGGACTCCAGTAGGCTAGGCAGGCAGGGCGCCCTAGTGCAGGAGCGGAGCTTCTGGAAGTTTGGAGCCCGTCGAGTACTGGACCCACCAGTTAAGAAAACAGGGCAGCAATTTGGAGGCACTCGGCCCGGGACATAATGGCCGAACTGAAGTTAGGGTCCGGGACCCCGTATGTGGCCGCCCCACGCCACTCACCATCCACCGCTTCCCCGGGGGCCGAGGCTCCAAAACGCACCGGCTCATGGCCCGACTCAGCCGCTGTCCGGAGCGCAAAAGGCTGTGCGGCCTCATGCTGCCCCCATTCCCAGCCCTGACACCGGGCCCTGACGTCATAAGTCCTCAGCCAATCGTGTTGCCACCTACCTGGCGTCAACCGCCAGCGTCCAATCCGGGCCGGGCTGCGTGCCGCCTTGGTTCTGACGGGCGGAAGCGGAGAGGCGGTGGCCGTCTCCCGGAGCCCAGAGGCCTTCCGTGGCGTGGCGTCACAGTGTTCCCACGGGGTTTGTGTGAGACGCTCGGAGCTCTTGCTTGACGTTCGGTTGGGGGGCGGAAGCCTAGTTATGTCCCCCGCTATGGCCCTGCCTTGCGGCGAAAATCTGGCAAGTCCTTTCTCCGCCGTAGGCCTCAACCTCCCCAGCTGATAAAGGTTTTCTACCCACTTCCGGCTCAAAAGACTTGGTTCCCGGGGGCGTGGCCAGAGGGGCGGGGCCTGTGGGCGTCCTGGTGATGGTGCCTAGAAACGTCGGGGCTGGGGGCCGCGACGAAGTGGGCAGAGGTCTCGGGATCCTCTTGGAAGGAGCCTCATGACAGATTCCGACCAGGTGCGGGCTGGGGAGGAGAATAAAGCAAAGGCAGAGGGCCAGGCAGAGACACCAAGGCCGGATTCGCAGGAAAGGGTGAAGGCCAGGAGGGGCAGGAGCAGCAGTGCGATTCAGGGAAGGCCCTGGCCGCCTTGCCAAAAATCAGGGATGTGAGAGATCCTTGTAAGACTCGACAGCTGCTGGGACGGATGTCTCCGGCTTGGATGGCTGGTGGGGGAAGGGACCTCACCAAGGTGGGAGAGCCTGAGGCAGAAGTTAGATGAGGTGCTCAGTGTGGCCTGCTGGAGTGAGGATAATTAAGGGTATCCAAGAGGCTGTAGGACCACCAAGGCCTGAAACTTGGGACCGGACCTGAGCTGGAGACCTCAGAGCTTGGGGTGTCAGTAGCCGGAGGTGGGTGCTGGGAAGGCCCAGGAGGAGAGCAGATGGTGTTGTAAGTGTGAGGACCCTGATCCCTGACCTTGACCACAGAAGAGGGAGAAAGGCGGAGCTGGAGAGGACCGGTTGGAGCATCTTCTAAGGGGAGTGGGGTTAGGAGCACCATTCGACCCTCCGCCCTCAATGGGAGTGCCTCCTTCCAGGCCTCACTTCCGCCCCTCCTCCCTCCCTGCAGAATGCTGGGGAGTGTCAGTGGGTGGGGGTCGTCTCTGGGGCCTGCTCCAGCTTGCCGTCCTTCTGTTCTAGGATGCCCTGAAGGTTGATCAGGCCCCCTCACAGGACATCCCAAAACCATGGGTGATTCCAGCCCCCAAAGGGGTCCTGCAGCGCATCTTTGGGACCAGCCAGGTGTTCCAAAGCATCTGTGAAGTAAAACCAAAGGTTACGGGGTCAACAGTGCCCCTCAAAGTCAGGGAGTAGTGAGTGACTGCCTTGCTTTGGGATCCCAGGTTCCTGCCCGGCACAGCCATTCACATACCATGCAGCCTTGAGCCACTGACTCTCTTTGGGCCTCAGTGAACTCAACTGTCTAACGGGTCTCTTCTGCCTCAGTGGATAAAAGGCTGGTGGCCTGGCTGGACTCCAGGAACACCAGCCTGCCCTCCCTGGGCTTCTGTCTACTCCTCCTGCCTCTCCACCCAGCTCCCCTGCCTTCCCCAACCCCCACCCCAGCCCTATGCCCTGGGCTAGTCCACAGTCAAGGCCACCCCTCTGCCTGTCCCCACTTCCCCCACAGCTACTCCAGAGGCCAGCAGTGCTTGGAGGAGGCCGACTGGGAGGCAGCTGTGTTGTTCTTCTCCCGCGCGCTCCACCTGGAACCGCAGCTGGTGAGAGGCAGACCTGGGTGGGCACAGGCAGTTATGAAACATGCCTCCAAACCCTGTCGCACCTGCCAGATCCCTCCTCTCAGGACCACCAAGTCCCTGATGGAAATTGGGTGTCAACCCTCAGGGGGACAGAGACTTTCCCCTACCCTCCAGGGACAGATGATGGGGAGGATCCAGTGGCCTGGGTTCCCTCACCCTCAGGTGGACTTCTACGCCTTGCGGGCTGAAGCCTACCTCCAGCTCTGTGACTTCTCCTCGGCGGCCCAGAACCTGCGAAGGGCCTACTCCTTACAGCAGGACAACAGCAAGCACCTGGAACGCCTCACCTTTGTGCTCTACCTGCAGGTGCCTGGGCCATCCGGGCCCTTGCAGGTCACCCGCCTCACACCACTGGCTCTCCCTCCCGCTGTGGGGGGCTCTCCTGGCTCCTGGGCCCAGCTCTGTCTCCTTGGATTCCTCCTTGTCCCTGTGTCTGGGTCCCCACCTGCTGCCCCTCTGACCTCCCAGGCTGGTTTACTGCCAGGCTTGGCTCAAGTTTGGCAGCACTGCCCAATCAGGCTTTCTGCAATAACAGCAGTGATCTACATGGCACTGTGCAATATGCTAGCCACCTGCCACGTGGAACGGTTGAGCCCTTGAAACGTGGCAAGTGTGACTAAAGAACTCAATTTTATATCTATTTTTATTTTAATTAATGTAAATGTGTATAGCCACACAATGCTATAGACAGAACAGATCTAGAGTCCCCAGGCTCTAAGCACTAAAAAGGTCACAGTAACCCCCAAGTGTATTTCAAAGTAAAAACAATATTAAACTATAAAACACCAACAAAGTCTGGTTTTCTTCCATTTTGACAACCTTGATGTCTTTTTTTTTTTTTTTTTTTTTTTTTGACACAGAGTCTTGCCCTGTTGCCGAGGCTGGAGGGCAGTGGCACGATCTCAGCTCACTGCAACCTCCACCTCCTGGGTTGGTGATTCTCATGCCTCAGCCTCCCAAGTAGCTGGGATTACACATGTGCACCACCATGCCCGGCTAATTGTATTTTTAGTAGAGATTTTCACCATGTTGGCCAGGCTGGTCTCCAACTCCTGACCTGCAGTGCTCCGCCCACCTCGGCCTCTTGAAGTGCTGGGATTATAGGTTTGAGCACCTGGCTTGATGTCTTTTGTTTATGTAAAAAAATATTCAGTTCCTTTTTTTTTTTTTGAGACAGAGTTTCGCTCTTGTTGCCCAGGCGCGATCTCGGCTCACCGCAACCTCCGCCTCCTGGGTTCAGGCAATTCTCCTGCCTCAGCCTCCTGAGTAGCTGGGATTACAAGCGTGCGCCACCATGCCCAGCTAGTTTTTTGTATTTTTAGTAGAGACGGGGTTTCACCATGTTGACCAGGATGGTCTCGATCTCTTGACCTTGTGATCCACCCTCCTCGGCCTCCCAAAGTGCTGGGATTACAGGCTTGAGCCACCGCGCCTGGCCTAAAATATTCAGTTCTTAAAAAGAAACATTTGGGGTCCTCAGACCGTGTGCTGAATCTGTCTGTTGTGTCCTGCACTGCCACTTACTGTGTGCTCTTGTACAAGTCACTTCACCTCGCTGAGCCTCAGTTCCCTTATCCATAAGAGAAGCATGCCGGCTGGTCGCAGTGGCTCACCCCTGTAATCCCGGAACTTTGGGGGGCCAAGGCAGGTGAATCACAAGGTCAGGAGTTCAAGACCAGCCTTACCAACGTGGTGAAACTCCATCTCTACTAAAAATACCAACAATTTAGCCAGGAGTGGTGGTAGGCACCTGTAATCCCAGCTACTCAGGAGGCTGAGGCAGAGAATTGCTTGAACCCGGGAGGCGGAGATTGCAGTGAGCTGAGATTACACCACTGCACCACTCCAGCCTGGGGGACAGAGCAAAACTCTGTCTTAAAAAACAAAAGCATGCTAATGCCAGTGAGAAAACAAGTTCAAGTTCTTAGCACAGGGCTCAGCAACCAGGGCCCAGGTCCAGGCTAGAGCCTGTTCCTGTTAGTTCTCCTGGTCTTTCTGCCATTTGAATTTTCTTTTTTTTTTTTTTTTTTTTTTTTGAGATGGGAGTCTCACTCTGCTGCCCAGGCTGGAGGGCAGTGGCATGATCTCGGCTGACTGCAACCTCAGCCTCCCGGGTTCAAAAGATTCTCGTGCCTCAGCCTCCAAAGCAGCTGGGATTACAGGCATGCACTAACACGCCTGTCTAATTTTTGTATTTTTAGTAGAGATGAGGTTTCACCATGTTGTCCAGACTGGTCTCAAACTCCTGGCCTCAAGTGATTCACCTGCCTCGGACTCCCAAAGTGCTGGGATGGGATTACGGTGTGAGCCACCATGTCTGGCCCAGCCATCTGAGTTTTCTCCATTTCTCTTTGTTCCTGAATCTCTGTATTTCTCTATCTTGCCTGCTGTCTCTTGCTGTCTTTCCCCAGGTGTGTATCTCTCTCCCTCTCTGTCTCTGTGTCTCTGCCTCTTCAAGTCTCTCCCAGATCGAAAAGGCTCTGTCCTTTCCTCTTGCCTCTCTCCCTCCCACCTCAGTGCTTTCTGCTGCCAACGGGGGGTACAGCTGGGCTGGGCTGGGCTGACAAGCAGAATTGACTGTCCTCCGTGTCCCTAGGGGCAATGCCTTTTTGAGCAGTGTGATTTTCTGGGTGCCCTGGATGTCTTCTCACACGCTGCTGAGCTCCAGCCCGAGAAACCGTGCTTCCGTTACCGATGGTGAGTGTCCTTGCCAGCTTCCTTCTCCCAGCAGACGCTTCCTGCTGCCCCACCAAGGAAACAGAGCACCCTGTGCCCTCTGCCCTCAGCATGGCCTGCCTCCTGGCCCTCCAGCGGCATCAGGACTGCCTCTCACTTGTCAGCAAGGAGCTGAAGCAGGACGCCACCAACGCTGACGTCTACATCCTCCGGGCCAGACTCTACAACTTACTCCAAAAGGTACAGCAGGGAGGGCGGGCAGGGGCGTGCACCCCAACCTGGGAGTCCTCAGTGTGCCCCAAGATTACAGGAGGAGACAAGACTGTCAGCCAGCCCAGAAGCCCTATCCCACAGTGCAGTGGGCACTGTCCTTCCTGGGAAGAGGCCCACGCTGGCCTGGACAACTCGGCTGCCAGGCCAGGTCCTTGTTCCACAGTTGCTCCGCCCTGGCTCTGTGCCAAGCCTGTGCTGCACCCCATGGGAAGCAAAGGATGAGAGACTCATGCCATCCACGTCCGAATGGAGCTCACAGCCTGGGGGAGATGTCCCTGGGCAGATGAGTATACGACGAAGAATTTAGCCACAATCCTGTGAAGCCACACACAGGGGCATTCAGGGCACCTAACATGAAGTAGCCCTTTCCCCCCTCGCCCCTGCTTGCCCCTTTCTCCTCCTTTCCTCCCCACTCCCTTCCCCCTTCCTCCCTTCTCGATTCCTCTCTTCCTCCCTCTTCCCTTCCTCCCTCCTCTGTTCTCCTTCTTCCATTCCTCCCTTCCCACTTCCTCCCTCCTCCCTCCTCCCTCCTCCCTCCTCCCTCCTCCCTCCTCCCTTCTCCCTTTCCCCCTTTCTCCCTTCCTTTCCCCTTTTCTCCCTTCCTCCCTTCCCCCTTTCTCCCTCCTCCCTCCTCCCTCCTCCCTCCTCCCTCCTCCCTCTTCTCTTCCTCCCTTCTCCCTTTCTCCCTCCTTCCTTCTCCCTTCCTCCCCCTTCCTCTCTTCCTCCCTTTCTCCCTCCCTCCCCCTTCTTCCCTTCTTTCTTCTCCCTCCCTTCTTCCTCTCCTTCCTTCTCCTCTTCCTCCTCCCTTGCTTTTTTCCTGTTTGCCTGAATGAACCATCCCTACCCCTGACCACCCGCACAGCCTGGGCTGGGCACAGGGCCAGACAGTCCAGGGAACAGCTTGGGAGCAAAAGCTTGGGGTCACAAGGGAGGAGGCGGAGGGGGTGCTGGGCAGCAAGGAGAGGAGGGCAGGGATGAGAGGTCTCCCGGGAGGCAGTGGGAGCCTCCACCAGGTGTCCCCAGGGCAGGGAGCTTTGGAAAGATCATTCTGATGTCTGCAGCGAGTGTGAGTCAGGGGGAGGCCTGGAGCCCAGGGCCGGAGGAGGACTCTGGGCACCATTGCGGGGTGGGGTGAGGTTGAGGGAAAGCTGGTCCTGAGGGGAGCAAGGAGGGGCAAGTCCCACTGCCCTTCAGAAGGCAGGGCCAGAGTCTGGCTTGGCAGAGGGCTTGAAGGAAAAGGAAGGATCCAGAAGAGTGCCCAGTGTTCTGGCTTGGCCTGGGTGGATGGGGAGCTGGGAAGCTAGGATGGGAGGAGCAGGTAGGTGGGTGGGGTGGGGTGGGCTGGGCTGACCTCATTCTCCAGGCAGGACATCCTGGGCGCAGCTGAAATGCCAGCCTGCCTTACAGTAGTGGAGTGCCGCCACCCTGGCAGGAGTGACTCGAGGGAGCTAGGTCCACCCTGGCAACTTCCCCCTGTGCCACAGCTTGAGCTGCAGTGTTCCACAAGTGATTCAGTGGCGTGAGACTCGGATTTTTTTCTAATACAG